ATATCTTCATTTGAATGTGCAAGAGGTATCTCAAACTTGTAAGTCCAAAATGGAGCACTACATTTTTCCACCCACACCTCTTCTAGTCTTCCCCATCTTAGTGTCAAAATGGAGTATATGTTATAAACCACAAACATAGAAGTTATCTCTGATTCTTTTCCCCCTCACCCCACATATACAACCCATCAGTTGGGGCTGGGGATTTAGCTCAGTGGTTTGGCCGCCTGCCTTGCAAGCGCAAGGTCCTGAGTTCAATCCCCGATACCAAAAAACAAAAAAAACCCAAAAAACAAAACCCATCAGCAAATACTACCATAATTCTTTCTCCAAAATATATCTGACTACATCTCCTTTCTGCTCTCTCCAGTGCCACTCCCCCAGTCCAAGTCATGATTATCTCTTACCAGGACTAATTCAGTGACCTCTTAACTGGTCTCCCCTTTCTTTGCATGACTGGCTCCTTCTTATCACTTATGTCTCAGGAAACAGGTCAAGAATCAAAGAGGGTGTTATCAAAGAGGAGGTTTAAATATGAAGTGTCCCCCAAAGGCCCACATATTGAGGGCTCGATCCCCAATACAGCAGTGTTTAGAGGTGAGGCCTAGAGAGGTGATTGGATCATGTGGGTGCTAACTTCATCAGTGGATTAACCTATTGGTGAATTCATAGCTAAATGGCTATCAGGAGGTGGTGCTCACTTGCAAGAGGTAGGTCCCTGGAGCTCTGTCTTTGAAGGGTATATGCTGTCCCTGCTCCCCCCACCCCCAACACTTTCTAGTCTTCCCTGCTTCCTGGTTGCCATGAAATGAGCAACTTTCCTACACCACATTCTTCAGTCATGATGTTTCTGTCTTACCACAGGCCCTAAAAGCAATGGATCCAGCCAACCATTGGACTATGGATTATAGACCTCTGAAATTATGAGCCAAAATAAATCTTCCCCCCTTTAAATTGTTTTGCTCAAGCATTTGTTCACTAAATGACAATCTAACACAGAAGACTTCCCAAGCTATGCTATGGACAGTGGCCTTCTACCCCCACACATTCTGTATCAATTCACCATGTTGTCTTTCTTCATATAACTTACAACAATATGGTATTATCTATTTTCTTCCTGTTGGTTGTGTTCCCCACTAGAATATAAGCTCCATGAGAGCAAGGAGTTCAACTCTTCTTCTCCTCTCCATCTCCAAGGCTCATCAAAGTACCTGGGCCAAAATAGGCTCTTGACAAATATTTGCTGGAAAGAATGAATTGAGGTCTTTTGAAAGGAGGAAATATCTTTGGATTTTAAACATTTCAGAATCATTAATATTTGCTGTTGTTCACAAGCACTCCATGCAGGTTTGCCACGTATATGTGCATCAAATACAAGGAAAGCTTAGTTAAATGCAATACTTTGAGAATATTTGGAGGTTTCATTCAGACATAATTTTGCCAAAATTACCAATTAGTTTGATTGTCACAACTTGAACACTAAGATAACTATCTATGTTGGTTGGTACCATCTGGTTCAAGCATCAATCATTATTTATTTATTTATTGGTACTGGGGATTGAACTTGGGTCCTTGCACTTGCGAGGCAGGCAGCAGAACCACTGAGCTAAATCCCCAGCCCACAGATTTCTTTTTTTTTTGGTACCGGAGATCGAACTCGGGTCTTTACACTTGCACAGCAGGGGGAGAAACCACTGAGCTAAATCCCCAGCCCTTCAATCATTATTTATAATTGAAAGTGTTCTTTTATATAAGATTTTATGACAAAACAAAACATGTACCTGAGAAGAAATAATCACATGGATTAAAATGGTAAATATTCAATTTATAAATATTTATTCATCTCATAGTTATTTATTCAGTATTGCTGAAGCAAACATATATACACTATAAATAGATATATAGGGGGGAATCAAAAATTACTGTTTAGTAAAACTGACCCAAAGAGTTCTTCCTAGGTAAGGAATTATCTTTGTTTAGAATAACATCTAGAGAGATGTTTAAGGGGTGGTGGGTGAGTCCCTACGTGTTAGAAAAAAATGATCACAATAATCATGCAATAAAAAACCACTGGGTAGGCCTGGGGATTTAGCTCAGTGGTTCCGGCACCTGCCTTGCAAACACAAGGTCCCGAGTTCAATCCCTGGTACCAAAAAAATCCCAAAACACAAAAACAAAACCACTGGGAGATATGGAAAGAACAGAGAAGAGGTAAGTGAGGAGAAAATGTGAGAAAGAAGGCTGCGCAAATGCCAAGAGACTAATGCTTGGTTTGGTGGAAATAGAACAAGGAAAGTGAATTTTTCAGTTTCAAATTGGCTGCTGAAGAGTGCTACATATTTGCCATATAGCCTCCCCCCATATGGCAAACACTATCTTTGAATTACCAGGAAGTGTCTACCACATGCAGCTGGCTTGCATGAATTTGGGGTGGAAATCAAGGAGGAGGGGCTTTAAATCACCCTTGGGTCAGTGCCAGCAGAAGATAAAGGAACAGCTGCAAGATGCTGAGTGAAGAATGGGAATTCAGCAGAGGCCAGAAATCAAATCCTGAGGCTGCCAAGAGAATGGGCAGCCGGAGGAACTTCAGGGAATTAGGAGTGAACACTGACATTTCTGTAAGACATGGGTAGAGTTTCCAAGGATGAGTTCCTCTATACTGCAAGGCAAGACAGTATTTGATTTCACAAATAATCCAGAAGCCACTGACAGTGTGATTCTGCTGATGCATATTAATTACTCCTTCCCATAGTGGTAGTGAAAACTGTAGATAGGGATGATAGGTGCAATAGATGGAACGTTTATAACCCCTACTCCCAACTCCATATGTTGAAATATTGTCCCCCAGTGTGATGGTATTCGGAGGTATGGTTTGGGGGAGGTAATTAAGTCATGACAATGGTGCCCTTATAAATGGAATTAGTGCCCCCATAAAAAGAACAGGCGTTTTCTTGCCCTGTTCCTGCCGTATGAGGATACAACAAGACAGAATAGTCTGCAACCAGGAAGAAGGCCCTGTCCTGACCAGAATCTGATCATACTAGCATTTTGATCTAGTACTTCTACCTATAAGAACTGCGAGAAATAAATTTCTGTTGTTTGTGAGTTATCTAATCTATAGTACTTGATATAGAAGCCTGAATTGACTAAAACAATAGGTACTGTGCATTTGAAATTTAGTCCTCTCCTGTCATCCTTCTATTTATTTCTGTTTTACTCTGTGGTTCCATAGTCCAACCCTAGACCATGCTAGTTAAACTGATAGGTCACTATTTTTGCTTTTTATTTTTACAATCGGTTAGCAAGAGCAATAAAAATTAAATTTATGAAGTCAATGTAGTTGAAAACTGTTTTAAGGACTAATAGACAGAAAAACCAAGTTTTCTATGAATAGCACATTCATTTCAACTAAACAATTTATTTATTGAATTCAATAAATATTTATGTCCCAGAGACTCTGCTAGGTTCTGGAACTTCAACTATGAATAAAACCCAATTGCTTCTTTTGGTCAGTTTACAATTTACAGTTCAGTGGGGATACATAAACAAATACTTACAGTATAATGTAGTAAGTGCAAAATAAAAAAGCATTCATAGCTTTTATGAGATCATTAAGTGAGGCACTTAGTGAAGTCTTCAGAAGGGGTCAAAGTTAAGGGTGGCTCTTTGAATGAGCTGACAGCTGAGTTGGATCTTAAAGGAGGTGAAGAGTTAAACAGAGATTGAGGAGGAAGTTGGATTCTGGTCAAGGGCAGGAGACAGATAGTAGAGGTGCACCTTCCAGAAGGGACAGTATAGGCAAGAAAGGAAAGAAAGAAATACAGGAAAGAAAGAATACATAGGGGACTACAAGCAGTTCTGAGTTACTGGAGACAAGATTACAATATAAATAAAGCTAGAGAAAAAGGTAAGGGCTAGATGATGGTGGACGTTGGGTGAAATATTAAGAAGTATTGACCATCTTGTCTGCAATGTAGAAATGCTAAAGGGTTTTAAGGCAGAAAAGTGGCATGGTAAGATCAGTATCTATAAAGAAAATAACAAGAAATGGATTATAGTTGTACCTACATTTAGGATAGACAGAACAAAGGAAATTTGTAAGAAAGTTGTTCTGGTCCAGGTCTAAAGCATGGGTATGAATGTGGAGAGGCAGGACCAGGTCTCAGATTGTTTAGGGATTTAAATTGTCAGGGATAGTAATTGATTTAACTTAAAAGATGAAGAAGAAAGACAAACAGTTTTCTCTTGGATGACAGGTATGGATAATAAGGTCATTAATCAAGGTTGTAACAACAGGAGAAAAAGTTGATTCATGGAGATGATGAATTCTATTCCAAACATGTTAAGACCCAGGGGTTTTTAGAAGCCAGAATGAGACAGAAAATGCTAGAACTGTTGGGAGAGATGTAGACTGAAGGTAGACCATTGGAATTCATCTCTGTACAGATGGTAGTTGAAAAACTGAGGGTACCTCAGATAACTTTGGTAACATCTTAAAACAAGAAGAGTAATAGTCAAGAGAGACGCCAGAGAGAAAATACGATCATGAAAAAGATAGAAAAGGAGTGATCAGAAATCTATGAAAGAATGATGGGTGTATGATGGCCTCAAACTCCTAGACTTAAGAGCTTCAAGAATAAATTTTAAGAAAGTGATCAATTGCATCAAATGTAACATAGGGTGCTGTAATATAGAGCTTAAAGGAAAATATTTTAAATCTATCCATTTAGATTTTATTTTAAAAGCTAGATGCAATTCCCTTGGATACCTAGGGAGAAAATTCAAACAAGGAAAGGCCAGTACCAGAAGGAAAACTTATTGAGTAGTCTCACATATGAACATAGAAACATAAAAACTAAATAAAACATTTGTAATTCATTGAAAATACAATTAAGGAAGGTTTGATTCCAGAGATGAATATTTTATTGTTTTGAAATCTATTAATATAATTCACTATAATATGAATTAAAGGACAAAATTAAATGATTACCTCAATATATACAGTAAAAACATACTAAGATTTAACAATCATTTCATGATTTTAAAATATCCTTCTTAGAAAATTAGGAATACATCAGACCATCCTAAATATTAAAACAATAGCAAACACTGTATTTAATGATGAAATAATGGAAACATTCTGTTCAAAGTCAGGAACAAGACATGGATATCATACCCATTCAATATGGTACTGAGGGGTCCTAACCAATGTAGCAAGACAAGAAAAGAAAGTATAGGGATTGAAACAAAGAAATAAACTAATAATCATTATGCAAATAATATGATTAAATAAGATATACAAGACAATCCTTTGACATTTTATCAATACTTATAAGGGAGTTCTTCAAGGTTGATGGACACAAAAACAATATTTAAGAATCAATGGTGCTTCTGTACAGCTGCAATAAACAATTAGAAAATATAATAACAATTACCCAAAGAATAGTCACAACATAAGCCACAGTTTACACAGGAAAAAAATCTAACAAAAAAAGTTTAAGATCTATACAGAAAAAAAAAAACTTTATTGCTGAATGTAAAATAGAGGAAATATGTCATATTCTTGAAGGAAAACAATATTATAAAGAGAAAATTCTCCCTAATTAATGTATAAAACTTAACATTTTACAGTCAGAATCCCAATAAGGTATTTTGTGGAATTTGACTAGCTAGGTTTAAAATGCTCATGGAAGAGTTCAGGATCAAAAATAGGCAAGATAATTTGAAAGAGAAAAACAAGATTAGGGAGGAATTAGGAAAGTGTGGTATCAGAGCATAAATAGATAAATAATCCAATGCAACAGAAAAGAGAACAACACATAGGAGAATTTGGTATGTGGTAGATAGAACTTGGTAGATAGAATGTGGTATATGGGGGAAAGATGGACTATTCAAATAAATGGTGTTAGATCAATTAATTATTTGTACAGAAAAAATAGATCCTAATTTCCCAGTGTACACAAAAATGTCAGGTGGCTCAAAGACTTCAGTATGAAAAAGCATAATAATAAAGCTTTCAAAAGATAATAGAGGAGAATATAATCAAGATTTTAGGGTAGGGAAAGCATTTTTAAGGGATGAAAAAACAAAGCATAAGAAGATAATAGATTAAAATTGAAATTTCTATGTGAGAAAAGTTACCACAAACAATGTTAAAAGATAAGACTAGGGTAGGAAAAATATTTGAATTTAAAAAACTGACAGAAGACTAGGGTATAGTCTGTATACAAGGGAACTTTTGTAAATCAATAAGAAAAAGACAGATGCAGTAGGGTAAAAATCGTCAAAGAATGTAAATTAGGCAATTCAGAGAAGTAAAACTCAAATTTCCAATAACACATGAAAAAAATGCTTATCCTCTCTTTTGAAAAGGAAAATGCAAAACTTAAAATGGGATCACTTTTCACATATATGAGAATGACAAAATAGCTGATAATGCTAAATGCTGGAAAGGCTGTGAAGAAAGAAACTCGCACCTGCTGAAGGGAAAGTACATTGGTACAACCACTATGGAACGTAATTTGCCAATATTTTGTAGCATTGAATATGTGGAAGCCCTATTTGAATTTCTGGGCATATATCTAGAAAAACCTTTATACATTTGCACAAAGAGAAGTGCCTTAAAGATGATCATTCCATTATTGTTTGCAATTGTGAGAAACTGGAAACCACCATCAATAGTAGAATGTGTAAAGTAATGCTGGACTATAGTCATGATACAAAACTACACAGTAGTTAAAATGAATGTACTAGGTCCAAAAGTATTGACATAGATAAATCTTAAGAGCACAATACTGAAAAAAAAAGAACAAAATACTGAATGCAAATATATATATACACATATATGTAAAATTTAGAAAGACACAAAAGAAAAATTTAATAGAAGAAAAGAATCAGAGATTTTCATACATACATACATGCATACATACCTGTGGGAAAGATACATATAGGGGTGTGTCTTGGTAGCTAGGAGTGATGACATGTTGGCAGTTAGAAGAGAAAAGGACTAGATGGAGTACAAAGAGGACTTCATGCTTGGTATGGTGGGCACATTTGTAATTCCAGCTACTTGGGAGGCTGAGGCAGGAGGATCCCAAGTTTGAGGCCAACCTGGGCAACTTAGTGAGACCCTGTCTCAGAAAATAAAAAGGGGTAGGGATGTAGTTTAGTGGTAGCATGTTCCTGGGCTCAATCCCTAGTAATACTGCAAAAAGGGACAGGGCTTCAGCTGTATATATAACATGTTTTTTAAAGATCTGAGGAAAACAACAGTGATTGGGAGATAAACAGGAAGTACAGGTAGTGAGTATAGTCTACTTTTTAAAAAAGTTTAGATGGAGAAAGAAAGAAGAGAGATTGGATGATGGCTGGAGAAAGATACTGGATTGGAAGCCTTATTCACTCAACATTTTTATTATGACATTTTTTAAACATTCAGAAACACTGAAAGAATGGTACAGTGAACACCCATGTAACCATCACCTATATTCTCCAAACAGCATTTTGTTTTATTTGGTTTATAACATATTTATCCACCCATTCATCCACCTAGTTTTTTATTTGATTCATTTCAAAGAAAGTTTCAGACATCAGTGCACTTCATTAGTCAAGCTTTTGGATTAGATAAGAGAGATGAACACATGAACTGAGGGGAGGACAGTGTTGAAGGTGTGGCTGAAAGAAAAAAGAAAGAAAATAATTGTTTAAGCCCTGAAAGAAATGGGAAGTTTTGACCTTTGAAAAAGAGGAGGAAAAGATGGTAGAGGCATGGGGATGTTGAAGGTGGCCTCAATGTTTTCTCCTTTAAATAGGAGGTAGAAAACTTTTGTTAGGAATGTGAGTTCTGAGTTGATTGTGTCTTGAATAGAAAGACAAAGACAAAGTAGGTATATTTACTGGTGAAAATTGATCAAAGACAAGTTAAGGAATCTATACAGTTTCTGAGGGTTCAGTTGAGCCAGAATCTGCAACAGCACAAGACTCTACATCATATAATTTTCTCCAGCCCTGTTGTTTGAGAAGGAAGAACAGGAAAAGCAGACTGTGAAATAATCTAGGTTTGATTACGCAGAACAGGTGCAAAGTAATGGAAGGGCATTGTATTAGTTTGCTTTGTGTTACTACAGTGAAATGCCAAAGGCAAGTAACTTATAAAGAGAAAAGGTTTATTTAGCTCACAGTTTTAGAGGTTCAAAGTCCAAGATGAGGAGACTGATGAGAGGACACTGTTTTGGCTTTCAATGAGGGCAATAGATGGTGGCGCATCATGGTGGGAGATCATATAGGCACAAACACATCTAGAACAAGAGCAGAGAAGAAAAGAGAAGACAGGTGAGACCATGCTTGCTCCTTTTATAATTCCCTTGTGAGAACTCATTTCACAACTACCAGGGGTGGTCACACATGAACTACCTCATGCCTCCAGTGACCTAAAGACCTCCCATTAGGCTTCACCCAAAGGTTCTACCACTTCCTAAGAATGTTACCCTGGGAACCAAGCTTTTATTCACAATGAATCCTTGGGGAACACTCAGACCACATCCCTAGCAATGGGCTTCAGGCAGTTAATAGTCTCAGCCAGGACATGGAACTGAAAGAGTCTAGAAAAGGCTGAAGAACCAGGATCAAATGAAGAGGTCAATGTATCTGAGTTCTTATGAGATGGAAAAGCAGCCCCTGGGCTGAGCCACAAACCTAGAGAAAGCCCCCTCATCCTAACTAGGCGGATTGCTACCACTCAAGACACAAAGGCACATAGAAATGCTTCTAGTCACTTATGTTCTCATTTTTAAAATGGTTTAGTACTTTCTTATATCAATGGTTTAGTACTTTCTTACATCTGCCTATTATTATGGACCCCCTTTTTTCACTTCTTGTGCCTATTACTACAAACTCTGTAATCATCCTTTCCACTCAGCAATTTGGATGAATTATTTCATTATAAATAAATTTACCTTCTTAAAATTTTTTTTCATAGAAGTATAGTCTCTTTTCCTTGTCTTGAGTTGAAGGACTCTCCATTAAGGCTAGTGTTCGTCTTTCAGATTTCTCTGGTTGACGCTATTCATTCTCCTATAAATTGTGTTGAAGAGTAGAGGGAGTTGGAGTACAAGCCTTGGCATTTGATTGACTCTCCACTGCTACTTCCAGCCCATCACTGTCTGTCATCTAAAATCTCATTCTTTCCTTATGGGTTCCCTCTACCTTTCTTCTTCTCAGCCACTAACCAATGTCCTAGTCACTTTTCTTCTTTCACCTAAAGACTTTGGAACCTAACTCATAGATGCCCTCTTTGTTTTGCCTCCTAACACTATCTTAGGATTTGGTGTCAACAACAGATCCAGTACTTTAGCTTTCTAATTGCTGTACCTCCTTAACCTTTGTGACCTTCACCTTCCCAGACTTCACACCTCAGTAATCCTAAATTCCAAGCTCTCACCTTCTGACTACTGGCTTCTAACTTTGATAAAACAAAATTTTCAGGTTTCTTATTCTCAGTACTAGTGATCAGTATTGATCGATAATGGGGAGACATTTCAGGAGCTGATGTGATCATCTCTACACATATTTAGATGACAGCTTACAAGGGACATATTTTGGATTTTTTTGTCTTTATTCACAAGGGTTTTAGCCTCCAGCAAGTACCAGTGATATCTTGGCATCTTTGTATACAATAGACAAAAGGAAAATGATTCAGTGTAGACCCCACATATTGGTCGATTATGATTAGATCATTGTCAGAGTAACATGAAGACAATGGCATCATTTTTTAAAAATCTGTCCTCTAGAATCTTTGGGCTGTGATTTTTTAATTTTATTTTTTGAGGACTCATTAGAACACAAAGCTAAGGAAGTAACTGTTTTCCTTGTGTAGGGTGAAGTAACTTAGTGTCTCTATAGTTACTAAAAAAACACAGAAATTAATTTGCTAAAGATTACCCACTTCATACACTGTGTTAGTTCATAAATGGTTGGCACTGTGTGTTTCAAGCAGAACTGGATTACTCAACAGATACAGTGTTTGGGACACTGGTGAAGTAAGAACACACAAAAATGCATACAAAACTTTTAAGAGTTTGATATTTGTCATTTCTGATGCAAATTACATAGTGGTTATGTCTGGGGGAAAATCAGAAGTTTGTCGCTTTTCCTACTACTCTGCAATTTTTAAAAAATCACATGGGGTGGGTCACCTTATTATTGTCAGCACTTAGGATCTTTGAAGGTTTTAATTAGGCCCTGATGTCAGAGGCCATTGTGGTTCCACCTAGGTATTTTTATTCTTTTTGCATTCCTATACTTGAACGTTGAGGTGAGGTCATTCATTTTGAAGGAGGTTTGCCAAGAAGTGACTGGTAGAGATCTGTTTGTTTCTGGCCTGTTCCACTGCTTTACCAAAAAATATTGTCACTGGTTGGTATAAGCAGTGGGCTTCTCTTAGAGGATATGGGCCAGCTATAAAAGTCACAAAACTCAAACAGATTCCCAAGCCTTTTTTTTGACCAATGCCTGCCTAAGATCATTCAATTTCTAATTTATAATCACCATCAAACGTTGTTGTGAAGAGAGTTACTGCTCCCTAAATTCTCCACATCAACCCCAGTACCTCCATTTAGGACACTTCCTTTTTACCTGATCTGCTTCCAAACTTGATTTATGCCATAGCTTTTTTATCCAGCTTCTTTCTACCAAGAATGCAGTAGAATGACTGGCAGCCACTCAAGTACTTGAGGCTTTCCGTCTTACAGTATAAAACAAAGAGATTGAGAAAGCAGAAATAGTTTTAAAATACAGACCTTTTCTAAGGAGTGGAGAATAAATCTTCTTTTGTTGCATTAGATTCTGTTTAAGACTCGGGATGCAGGATGCTATCTTGATGAGGGATAGACAAGGTTGAAAAGGGGAACATACTGAGCAATGAGCAACAGCTGAAAGCTACAAAGATAGGGCTGTGCTCATGTATAAATAGAAATGTTGCTGCTACCCTGATGAATCAGACCAGATGTTTCTCTGATGTCTCTGTTTGGTCCTTTGGTTAAAAAAAAAAGTATAATTTTGCTAAAATTATATGTGGGGCCAGGAATGTGGTACAAATGCTTTAAGCTTAAATAATATGTAAAAGAATAAAATTACGGAGGAAACCTTCATTAACAAAAAAATATCTATTTAGAGAAGCACAGAAAAGGGTGGAATCAATTTTTTGATGGGGCTAATGAATTGAGATTCAAATCTGAGTTCTAATTCTTCCTCTGTCACTAGTTATGTGACCTTGAGGAAGACACATCATATTCCTGGACCTAGGTTTTACTACTCATTTATTTATTTCTGTTGAGACCAGGTCCTACTATGTTGCTTAAGCTGGTCACAAAATTTATAGGCTTAAGTAGCCTCCTACCTCAGCCTCAGGGAGCTGGGATTACAGGTGTTGGTCATCTTGCTTGGCAAGTTATGTTCATTTCTAAAATGAAGAGGTACAGGATAGAAAATGAGTATTGCATGACTGAATTCATTAAACTGAGGTTGTAGTGTCTTCTGCAGCTCTACACATCTGTGAACAAAACCAGGTTTACATTCATTTTTCCTTTAGTCTAAACTCTGTTTCCTGGCTTCTGTTTTCATCCAGGGGTTGATATATAAAAGAGATTGTGGGTGATAGACATGAATACAAGGTCTCTGCCCTCAAGATGCTTATAACCCAATAGTACATACTAAGAATTATACAAAAGATTATATACACAATATATACTGTAGCTGATTCTAAAAGAGAGACAGGAACAAATGGTATAGGAACTCAGAAGAGGCTGAGCTCATTACTAGCTTGGAGAATAGGGAACGAGTTGATGGAGAACATGGGCATTGGATGGGATTCATTTCTGGTAGTCAGAGATGGAGTAAAGGATATTCTAGGTGGAGGAAAGAATTAGGCAGTGACAAGGGGGCTAGTAAGTGTTACCTATATTTGGAGTGTGCCATTTCAGTTAGCTGAAAACAGGCAAGGAGTTATGTCGCAGTGGTGGTTTGGGATCATATTTGGGAAGCACTTTTAAGGTTGGGGTAGAATGCATTTTATACAGTAGGCAACAGAGAGCTGTTTTTTGAGATATGACCTGGTCTGAACTGTGCTTTAGGATAACTCACCCACTACAGAGAGTAGGATAAACTGGAGGTATAAAGTCCTAAGGGGAAAGAGAATAGCTAAAAAGCTAATGCTAGTAAAAGCTAATGAAGTCCGAGCTAGGATGGCATCAGTAGGAATGGAAAGCAGGGTTGGATCTACGCAACCTATGGTGGGGGAGAGGACTCAGGTAACTCCTTGTTTACACAAGTCTGAAATAGAACCTACTAGTTCCAGTAACATAAAAAGGAAATTCAAGAAGGGAAAGGTATCTGGGCAAGGGGAAAAGGGAACACAAAGAGGTTATTTTCCAAGCACTGGGTATGAGGTGCAGGAAGCATATCTTGATAGAGTTGTTCAACATTTACAAATTCCTGACTGGACCTCAGTACTGTGGATGGGGCTGGAGATGGGTATCTCAAAGTCAACAGTATCCAAGTGAGAGATGTAATCATGGAAGTGCATAGATCACCAGGTTAGTGGAGAAGGAAGACAGAACAGAATCTTGGGCAATGTCTAATTTCTTCCAGCTATGGTCCATATTACAGAAGATAATTGGGAGAGTAGTACATAACTGTGTCAAAGGGCAGAGGGAATACAGAAAGCGAAGACTGATGAACCTCTTTTGGAGAAAGGCTGGTGAGAGGTGATGTTTACGTATTTTAAAGGGACTATATGGTCTAGAAGAAACGAGTTAACAGACTTGATGAAGAGGGAACCTTTTATGTTTGTTTTCTGACAAATGAATAGAGGAGAAAGTTGGACATGTATCTGGCCCTCAGTTGTGACAGTCATAATTCCAAATACCCACACCTCCTTTATATTAGTAATGTATACTTACAAACAATAACCTGTTTATTTTGGAAATCTCAGACTGCTGTCAGCGTTTTAGACTCTTAACTATGGAACTTATTTATCTCCTCCATAGTTTCCCAATTTTTGATTGTCTTGGATCTTGGGTTTGATTCTTGGGGTTATGTGTTCCAACATCAATAACTATGTAGATCAACCCTGAGAAATTAGTGTTCAAAGCTCTAGAGAAGGGAGAAAGAAGAAGGGAGAGGGCTAAGTAGAACTGCAGCTTTTTTGTACTTCATACACAAAGGACTGTTTGCAAACAACAATGTAAACTATGACTTTATCAGCCAAGGATTTATCTTCACATTAAAATTTGGGATTACATTATGGATATACCAGTGGTATAAATCCAAGAAGCCACCTTCTAGCAATGCAAATTGGTTTATAACTTCTATGTTTTGTTGTTCAATATTTTTTCTTAAATGGTAATATTTTACAACAACAACAAAATGTTTACCTTTTGTTTCACAAATGTCAGAACAATTCCACCTGCTTAAGAAAAATACTCTTACAGAGTCCTGACTCATTGGTAAAATAAAAAATTACAAGATTAGAGTTTTAATCTCAGTTAACTAACTAGCTGTGTTCAGATACTTTGTTTAATACAATTCTATGCTTCAATTTCTTTCATTGGCTAAATGGAGTCTTAAAAAATATTGGTTCTGCTTATCTCATAGAATTATTGTTCAGGTGGTGAAAACATTTTCTTTTTAAATTATGAACATAAATTGCAGACATAATATCACTTTGGTAATTAGATTATGACATGCATCTAGTCTGGGGTCAGGATGGGGAGATGAAGTAGGGACTAGTATTTAGTACTTAGTGGTCAGGATGAAGAAAATAGGATTACTAAGAAAGTAGGATTACTGGGGGTTGGCAGAGGCTTTTTCTTCAGCCCAAGAACAGATACAGTAATGCCACTGGGAGAACAAGTTTGGAAGAAAAAAAATCTGTATTTCATATGGTACTGCTACTGCTGCTTTTGAGATAATGGCTTTGGTAAATAAATTCTTTATATATTGACTGAGAAAGTAAAACTCAAATTTGTACATCTGATGCCTGTTATTCATTTACTCTCTGATTTACGTTACCAAGACATCAACTGTAGCTTATTATAAAAGAAAATGCTGTAGCTCTCCTCAGTGCTGAGCCCTTAGCTTCCTGGCTTCAACACTAAATTCATGAAAGCACATGATAGTTTAGACTTGGAAGACTGACTGTGTAGTCAGATTGTAAGCAAGCAAGGTTGTAAATATTGGAAAAGATCCCTCCAACATATCACCAAGCAACAGATCAACAAACTTAATCACAAAGGATTCTTGAAGGAAAAGTTGAAGCAATCAGTATCATTCAGACAGTACAAATCTATCTGTACTGATGGCTGATTTGCCAGGCAACCTGGCTATTCCTGTTTTCTTCACCTGTGATACAAGAAGCAGGATGAGATTATCACTTAGGACACTTCTTGTTTGAAATTCTATTACTCAAAGTAAGAGTTGGTAGAGAATCACAAAATGTATCCTTTTAGCACTTACTTGATAAGCCGAAAACACACCAATATACCACAAAACCAGAAAACTAAAATGTTACCTTGTACACCACTCTGTGCAGAGGAGCAATGGGTGCATATAAAAGTCAAGTTAAGGTTAAGGATGGAGACATTCTACAAATAAAAAATAAAACACAAGTGATATCAGAGGGGGGAAAAAGCCAACATATTGCACAAAGATCAAAGGCAAAAAAAAAAAAAAAAAAAAGATGTTTGCTTAATATTACTGGGCTTCTGAGCTTTTCGTGTGGTAGGTCCGTCCATCCATCCACACCACACTTCTTAACCGCTATTCTAAGCCGATGACAGCTTCGGCGTGGACCGGGAGCAAAGAGCGGATCCTGTACAGATCCCACAATGCCAGCCAGACCCGCTGCCAACTCTCCTTTCTGAGAAGGACGGAGGCGTTTCTAGGGTGACTGTAAAATGAAGCAATCTCTTCCGTCTCTTCGTCCAATAAGAAAGAAGTGTTCCAGAAATAAATAAATAAATAGGAAGCGGATGAGAAGAAAAGGAAGTTCTTTTCCTTCCCTTTTAAATTTCCCGCACCCCTTTTCCTCCCCGCCTTCCCAGGCCGTCTCTAAAGTGAGCTACAGCTCTGGAGAACCAGACCACGCACTGCCAGGCTGTCCCAGAGTAGGCTTTTGGAAAGTGGGCGGGGCCCGGTCAGATGAATAACTCGGTGCCCGATTTTTCCTGCCTTTGGGAGCAGTTCTTCCTCCGCTTCTTTACTCGATTGCACACGCGGCCAGGCTCTCGGCCCTCGATTGCTCCGGTCTATCACCCTGGGATGCCGCCGGTCGCCGCCAGCGCCGCGGCTGCCGGGCTTGTGGGACCCTCAGCCAAGTGGGAGCCGGAGCCACGGCCGGAGCCCTGGCCTGAGAGTTAGAGGGGCGGGCCGGCTCATACCGGAGCCAGGTGCTGAGGACTAGCGGGAAACAGCCAGGGGCTACCGCCCCCCTCAGGCTGAGAGCCGGCATTCGGAGTCCCTGAGGCGGCGGCTTCGGGAGCCGGTCAGAGGGGGCGGCCCCTGGCGGCGACGCCCCCAAGCCCAGCCCTGCCCGGCCCGGCGCCCTCTCCGGCGCGAGCCTGGTCCTACCGCGGGAGACGCCGGCGGGCGCTCAGGAAGGCGGCTCCGAAGGGGCGGGAGGGTGAGCGTACCCTCCCGGGAGGGACCGCACCTGAGCCCGGACCCACGCCCGCCCGGCTGGGGTCCCTCCCTCTGGCTGAAGGTGGGCTGCGGCGCCCAGCCCTTGGCGGTGGGCGGCGGGGACTGAGGTGAGCGGCGTCCGCGCCCCCGCTGCTGCGCCCTCCTCCCCTTCCCGCAGACAGAGCGCCCATCGGCCGCCTCGTCCCTCCCGGACACCATGGAGCTCTCCCCGTCGTCCGGAGGAGCCGCAGAGGCGCTGTCCTGGCCGGAGATGTTCGCGGGGCTGGAGTCCGACTCGCCTCTGCCCCCGGAGGATCTGGAAGCGGTTGTCCCAGTCAGTGGAGCCGTGGCCGGTGGCATGTTGGATCGAATCCTCCTGGAGTCCGTGTGCCAGCAACAGAGCTGGGTCCGGGTGTACGGTAAGGACCGCAGGCCGTCTTAAAGGCTGGTGTTTCTTGTCTGTGCTTGGATTGACACGCATTCTATAGTCTTCGTTTCCCATTCCTAGTCTCCATCCATCCTGAGTCAGCTTCCCACGTCCCTTTTTGTTCTGGGCATGCATTTCCGACAAGTTTCTTCAGATTAGCACCTGGGTAGAAATGTGAGCCAGTGTAGTCCTTTTTGGACCTACCTCCTCAGGCACCCGTAGTGAGTTTATGAAGTTGGTCTATCCTGACAAAAATTTCAGGTGATTACTTCAAGGGAACCGCCAACCACCTTCAAGAAGGTATGATTGAAAACGCTATGAAAATTCAGTGAATGGAGTTTCATCTCTTTCTGTTGTTGAGTGAGGCAAGACTGGAAATGAAGATGTATGAAAAAGCCTAGCGGAGGATAAGCTAATGAACGAGAAAAACAAAAAGCAAAGTACACTAAAACCCAAATTATTCATTTGGTGGGGACAGACTTATCTATACCTCTTCCTGAGTTTCACTCTCCAAAGGTAACCACTTATTCCAATATGTGTGGATTGTTTTAGATTGCGTACTGTTCCTGGTTTTCTTTGTAAAGTGACTGAGTTGCCACTCGGCAGGTTAAAAGTGATGAACACACTAAAACTTTCCCTCTCTGCATTCCTAGTAACCGCCTTTTTAATTAAAACTGAATGATGATATTCTATTAGGGTGAGACTTGTGGCAGCATTAAAACCATACTGTTTTTGAAAACTCATAGCCCACGAATTTATAGCCTGGTATTCAGGGTTTAGCTGTGGCTTTCGAAAATATTGAAATGGCAAGATGTTTATCACTTAGCTCACATGACCACAAAAGACATTAGTAATGTGTCTGAATGTGAGATGGCAAATTTGAAGCACCTGGGATCCACACAGTGTTGGATGTTATCCTGCAGTCACATGCATCTAAGTCTGTGGTGGTCAAGAACATTATGTTTTGCTCTCATCTTTCTCAATAGAGTTTATGTTTACCATTCAAGAGTGACCATGGCCTAGAAGTTTTCTTTCTGAATAGTTCAGTTGGTTTCATATCCATCACTGTCCATCATTGTTGCAAAGATCTCTGAACTTCGAGTCCAGACTTCTGAGTTCTTGGCTCAGTTCCGCTGCTAAGTAGCTAAGTGATTTGAGACAAATTAGGCACTTTTTTTGACCCTAATTTTTTAATAAAATGAGTGGATTGGATTAAATGATCTCTAATGGTCCTTTTGATCATAAAAATCCAGCAACTCTTCTTACAACCAGTTCTACGAATTTATGTACGTACCATTTTGTGTTTTGTTGGGTGTTTGTGTTTTTCAGCATTATTTTGTTTAACTGGAGTAATTAAAGCAATGAAGTGGGAAGTGATACGAGGTTACCCAGTTTATTCCCAGTAGATCAGATTTAAAATTTTGGAGCATAATTTTCCATCTGCCTACTAATCCTATTTAGTTGGTTGCTTATAACAGAGATTGATGAGACTCTGAAATGAGTTTGAGCTACGTATACTGTGGTTACATTTTTCTATTTGATTTCTTATCCTTACAGACTTCTTTAGCATATTGTTTTTATATGATGTTAGATAGGATCATGTTATTGTAAGAATAAATGATAATTCAATATATCAGTGTCTAAAATTCTGAGCTTTTCAGACCTTATGTTAACTATTGTTTGCGTGTAACCCATATAAATATGTTATTGTTTTTTTATAGTCTGTTGCAGGGCATGATTTGTTATATGTGTAACATGTTTACACACACACACACACACATCCATCCAACATGCTTTAAAGAAATCCAGAAATTGGGAACCTTGTCTGTAGCATTTAAGTAGGGGTTGAGACCTTGGGTTTTCATTCTGGTTTTGCCGTAACTTGGTTTAATTTTGGGTGAGTACAGTACTTTTAACTTCCTGGTTCTAAGTTTCTACATAAAATGTGGAATATGGAGTAATTGTTATACACACATATTTACACACAAATGCATATATATGGCACATTTCTGTGCCAAGGTACAGCATTGCCATTGCGTCATCACTTTTTGTCATCCCTTATCAATTAAGCAGAAGTTGTTTTTATTTACTGTTTACTGCAATTTTCCTTCCTGTAAGGAAGCTTATCCTGGAGGCTACTTGGTTGTCTTTAAGTTTGGTATAAATATTCCAGAACATTCTGAATGACTCTTCACTATTTTCTTAGCTAGTTTTTAAATTTGTCTATAATTTTTTTTAAAACTTTGAAGTAAAAATATTAGAATGTGGAAAATTGATTTGAGAATACTGGTTTTTGCTTTTCTTGGATTGATTTATTTATTGGTCTGTTTTGTGTATTCAAGACTCTGATTGTCTTGAATCATCTGGATTCTACACAAGTTAAAGAGATTTGGATGAGTGTACTCTAATATGTTTTAAAGAAATCAAGAAATTAGGAAGCTAGAGAATGCAACTGGAGGTTGAGAACCTGAGTTTTCGTTCTAGCTTTGCCACAGATTGTGTAACTTTGGGTGAGTAGTCTTAATTTTACTTCATTGGCTCTAGGTTTCTGTGTGAAATGTGGAATCTGGAGTAATTGATATTGGTGAGCCCTTTGAGCTTTAAAATTGGCTGATTTTGTGGCTTGTTCCATTATTTACCTACAACTTGGCCTAAAATTCCATCCTGACTTTTGGAGTTAGTCATTGGATCAGTCCCTTATTTTGATGCATTTCAGTTATGATTGTCAGGGAATTTTGGGGAGCACTTTCATCAAAAGATCAGTAAACTGAGTTTTGGAGGAAGGAATGTCCACTCAGATGTATACAGTACAGTATTTGCTTGGAATGTTTTCACAAGACAGGAAGTTGGGGATGGGGATGTTGCTTAGGTCTAGCTCATACAGCTTGGAGACTTCTCAAATAGTCCTCTGGGTTTTAAAGAGGGTGTAATAAGGAGCTGTACTAAGGGCTGGTGGCTACAGCCCACATCCTCTACAATATGCTTCTCTTTGGAATCATTATAGAAACAAACAACAACAAAAGTAACCCTTTTTCTGGGAATATGTTAACAAAAACTTTTAGCAACAATATTTTCTTAATTTGCCTCAAAAAATTTGAAGATGGCACTGTTTTTACATTGGTGTTAACAAGTTTGGCTCTTTGATAATCTATCTCTGTCTCTGTCTCTGTCTCTGTCTCTAACTCTATTCCTAGCTGTAGCTCTATATCTGTCTCTATCCCTATCTCTATTTCTATGTCTGTATCAGTATCTCCAGAGCTTTGTGTGTTGCCATGATTTGGAAAACTTCTTTGGAATGTGTTTAGAGCTTTATAATAGGTGGATCTATGTTTAAAACACAAGCACATTTTTGAGACACAGCTAAGAGAAAAAATTTATGCTATCCTGACCTTCATTTTCTTTTAGTTGTAAAAACATTTCATTTGTTTTATTCCAGTATTATAATGAGTTGTGCCCATCAGACTAAAATTTTTCATATAAGGGAGTCTGTTTTGCTTATCATTGTATTCCTGTTTTGCTACTCCTTTCACCGTTACCTTGTGTAACAGATTGGTACCTTGCTCATAGTGAAGTCAGTGTCAGTTGAATGTTGATCTATGTGTTCTTTGACCATCTAGATCTGTCTGACTGATGTTATGGGTGGTAGAGTAGCTTAAATAAAGGCATGCCACGAACAGCTAAATATGGATCCAAAATCCAAGAGCATCAAATGCAGAACATTTTTCAGATATTTATAGCCTCAAAGCAAAGTCAATTGGCTAAAAAAGCTCAGCAGCCTAGCAAAAGGAAACGGGAGTGGCAAAGGCAGCCTTACTCTCTGTGGTTTCTGGTAAACAATGAGAACATTAAAATTAACTACTTTACCGTGAATGGACAGCAGGCAGAACACTCTGGGAGAAATTTAAGATACTTGTCTCTAGGATTGCCTGCAGTGGAGCTCTACTCATTGGTACAACAACCCTGTAAGAATGTGCACAGATAAGCTTTTGGAGAGTTAGAGGGGAAGTATAATTAACATAATAAAGGTTCAAAAAAAAGCTTGTATTTTTTTTTCTCCTGAAGTTTATTGGTCCAGTTTAGGTATACAGTACTGTTACATTCATCATTGGGAACTTGTACCTTTACATATGATGTATCTTGGTTCTTATTTTTCCCATTCCCCTGCCCTCCCTATTTACAGAGACTTTGTTTCCATTTTTTCCTTTTCTCATATTAATTCCATTCCCTTCTTTTCTTTCCCCTTCCCCTCCCACTTCCCCTTCCCCTTTAGATCTTTTCTTCCTATTTCACATTATCAGTTATACATTTTGATCCTTATTTACACTTTTAGTTTCTCACACCAGAGAAACTGTTCGGTATTTACACCTGTGTGTCCTATTTATTTCACTTAAGAGTATGGCCTCAATGTGCATCCATTTAGCAATAAATGTCTCTAATTTCTCATTCTTTATGACTGAGTAGTACCCCATTTTATAAAAAAACCACATCTTCTTTATTCAGTCTCCAGTTGATGGGCAATTGGGGTGTTTCCAAAAAGCTTGTATTTTAATAGTATCATTAGGATTTATACTATTCAGCTAATAAAATGAATACCATAAACATCATTAAGCTAGTGTACATCTCATTGTTTATTGATGACAAAGAGACCTGCTGAAAAGTTTCTAAAGGCTGGTGCTATTTCAGCAAATACAAGAAAAGGAAATTAATCATACTGCATCAAGTATCACCTAAGTCCAGATATGTGACAGTGGAATTTGATAAGAATTTCTCATGAACTGGATATGAGCTGATGAGATGGAAGTCTTATTTGGTTGTAGTATATGATATTGTTTATGCTTCAGGAATTAAGACAAAGGATGAGATTGCTATATTTTATTTCTAGAGAATATGTTTCTGTATTTATTTAAAATGTTTCAATCAGTAATGAGTCCAGGAAGGTTTTTCATTTTGGCCCAGTATGAATTAGAAGTGACTAACTCACTGGCCTTATAC